ATTAATTACAGTATAAGTCGAGAAAGCACTATCCGAGCCGCCTAATGTAGAAGCAATGGCCGCCGTTCTAGGCGGTCTTGACAGTGAGGAGCAATGGACGGGTCTAGGTACCTAGTACCTTTGATCGTCGTGAAGGGGGTGGAGCCTTTGCTAGCGCCTGCCGTGTCAACCCCACCGAGGAGGCGCCTGCTTGACTTGATCTTTTATTTTAAAACTAATAGCAGGCAGACAGGGTTGGTTATGTGCGGCAAAAAGTCCACTTCTGGCTCTCAGAGCCTTAGGCACCTTAGTATATAAGATGGCGCCGTTTCTAGCTGACTTACGTGCCTAATATTCACCCTACTATTCCCTTACACTATTAACTTTAATATCGGCTATGCTAGCCTTACTATCCCAGCCTTTGCTTAACCTCTAATACCCACGAAGCCTGCTATAGCACCCCCGCACCGCTCCCTTTAATATGCGATAGGCTATAATAGTTACTATGCTAACTTTATAGCGCGCTTTACTTAGCGACGGGTATAGTAGCGGGATTAGAAAAAGCCTAACGCCCTTAACGCTAAGTAGCGGGCTACCCTCCGCGAGTAGCTAAAAGAAGTCTATTTCCTTAAGCTAGACTATACTAATAATACTAAGATTAATATCGTAGGTATCTTACGTAAATAAAAAAGGTATACGATAAGTACTCTTTTAAATAATTCACGCGCTAAATAGTCGTTAGGTATTATAAAACTACCGAGCTAGGATATTAGAAGGACGTTATTAAGTAAGCCGACCGGGCGATAGCTATAGATTTTCTAGACTACTTTTACGAGACGTAGAAGATTAATTTAGAAGGTATATTATAGGAATACTAGCGTTAATATAAATAGCTATATAGTAGCGTTACCGGTAAATATATCGATAGAAATAATAATAAGGAAGTCCTTAAGGTATAGCCTTATCTATTATACCGGAAGGTCTGCGATAGCTAACCTATATTTAGTAATATAACGCTTACTTTATTCTTAAATATAGCCTTCGACCGCTAAATATTAATAAGAAGCCGGTACTTAGTCTAGATAATTTACTAGTCTTATTAATATTTAATATTATTTATAATACTAGCGTCTTTTCTCTTAAATAATAGAGGATAAACTTATTTAGGCTATATATTATTCTTATAAGTATAGGCGCACGGCTAGCCGAACTCGTTAATAACGAGAAATATAAGCTTACGGATAGATCGTGGGATAAGCTCTAGGGTCGGTAATAATATAAACCTCGGGAAGATAAGATAAAGGGCGAGTTTGCCGACGGAGCTCTAGATAAGGACTTAAGACTCCTCGAGAATATTTTAATATAAGAAACCGAGGGTCGTGGCCGGCCTAAGGCACTTTATTACGAAGATATCTCGTTAATAATAGTACGTTACTTTAATACTAGATAAGATATACTAGCTATAGCTATTAAGTTTATTTACTATAAGGGTATAGATAGTAAGCCTAAACTATAAGTATCCCTTACTCTAAGTATATCTTAGAGACTACGAATAACCTAGCTTATATCTAATAGGATTATTTTCTTTTTTATAGCTATAAGGAGACTTATTTTTTACCTAGTTCTCGTCCTTACTAGCCTTACCCTTAATAACTAAGCTTTTAACGCCCTAAGCTTAATAACGGCTGAGCGTATCTTCTAGATTAAGAATCGAGGACTTATAAGATACACGTACTTAAGGTAGAAGATAAAGTAGCTAAAACGCCCGATCTTCCGCGGATTCGATAGGTTATTAATATATTAAGAAAAAGCGCTACCGTACTATAAGCTAAGGGACGATATAGAGCATTAAACGCTAGACGCCGGATTCGAAGAATTTATTAGACCGAAGGCTTTCCGTCGAGGAGCCGCGAACGCGGCGAATAATATATTCTATTTTTAAGCGATTTTAATATTAGATCCTAATTTCGCCTTCTTTAGGGAACGCGTCCGACGCTATATATAATTAGATAATACGCTATAATCTTAAGTAAGTAATATTTAATAATACGTATATTAATAAGAAGGTTAAGTTCTATCTCTAGAATACTTTCTTAAATAAACCGATAGAAAACGGTCTTATTAAGCTCTTTACTTATATTAGCATTATACGGGATCCTCGGGCGAGCTACGATATAGTTCTTAACGAGGTCTAGAGAGCACTACTACTAGATCCTAAAGTAGCTATGCTCGAGGTATAACGTAACGACTTAAAGAGAGGGCGATTTCGGATATAAGGTACCGATATTAAGAAAGAGGTACGACGCTTATCTAATAAGATCCGTAATAAGCGTGCGTAATATAATAAAGCTCTTCGATAAGAGTATCGGAAGTATTATTTCTATAATCGACTAATATAGGATATTAAAAAGTAATTTATAAATAACTTCGAGGAAGAGGAAGAGGAAGAGGACGACTAAGATATTACCGACTATGCTTAATTACCTATCACGCTATATATAGTAGAGCGTGCTCGGCTCGCTAAGATTCTTTACTATTATTTAGATAGTCTTAGTAGTACTAAACTTAAAAGGCTCTATATTAAGGCTACTTAGCTTATAACTACTCTCTATAGTAAGAAGGAGATAGTAAAGCGTAAATATATTCGGCGATAAGCCTAGACCGAAGTAGCTATTAAAGAGGAGGTATAAGAGCTAGATCGGTTCCCCCTTCTTATAGATAAGACGCAATATCCCTGCTATATTAGGAGTAAGGCTTTATCGGAGGAAGAGAGAGCTTTCCGCTATTATAGACCGGCGGTAATAAACGACTACTTTAACCGGGAGTATCTTAAGCCTATAAAGAGAGCGGAAGGGTCTAGGTTAATAACCTGTGATTATCCTAGGTATCGGGAGAACGGGGAGGGGATAAAGCTAGAGAGTCTAGATTACTTTAGAAATTATATATAACGCGTTCACGGAGTTCGTCTGAGGCCGGAGCGCAAGTAGCTCCATTAAAACTTCCTATATACTATATACCTTTTTTTACGGCTAGTCTAGCCGGTCACGAGACCCACCGCTTATAACGCGATATCTATTCTAAGCCTAAGACACGAGGGCCTAGGCGATAACTACACCTCTTAGAAACTCATAGGATCCCTCCCTCCGCTAGTAACCCAGCGGAGATTATTAGGCAATACTACGTTGCCCTTTTTACTAAAATAAGAGAGGCGACAGGGAGACCACGAAACGACGGGCATTACTAGAAATAGCTTTAACTAAGAACTCGGGAGAGCCGAGGGCAGCCGAGGGGGTTAGTAGTACTAGGAGGTAAGGTTTACTAGAAAGCGTCAGCTATGGCTTACCAGAAACCACTGATAAGCACGTATCAGTAAAACAGGCTTCCCGATAATCGCTTCGAGGGTGTCTCTAGCAAGAGATGGCTACCAGCAAGCACGCTGCCATGGACTAAAAATTCAACGTATCCGACACCTGTGCACGCACTTAATCTCCGTCATTAGTGCTCTTGCCAGTTCTGTACGTCACCTGGCCCACACATATTAGCCTTAAGTTTTTGTTGCAGCTGTATGGGAGCAGGGAGCAGTTAATGTGCTCTAATTGCAGTATCACAGTATCGTGGAACGCCGAACGGTGGCAGCGCGAATCAAAGCTAAAAATAGACATCTAAACCTTCGACCACCAGACTCGCGCTGGACTGCATGACAGGTCTAAATTCAGAGCCATGAAATTCTTCTGAGCTCTGAAGATCATCCAAGCTTTGCGTCTTCATTGAATGTTGTATGTACAGTTGTGGGTGGTGAAGATGACAGTTATTGCTTTTTGGTAGAGCTTCCCCGTGCCGCTCGCAACACTCATTATAACGGCTACGCCTAGCCGTTGCGCTAAGGGCAAAAGATTAGGCATTGATCGAATGACGGGCGATCAATACAGGCGTAATAACTGCTCATAGGGGGTTACGAGGACTAGGTCGTAACATTGTACGAATGAATAGCCGGTTGTGACTAATTAGTCTGCCGACCCATAGTTCGTACGATTCTTCGTCGTACGAAAGCTGGCTCTTGATTAGTTATACTTCCATGATTCGTACGAATTCTTATCGTACGAAGTCCTTGATTAGTTACTTTGCTCACCTATGATTCGTACGATTCTTGGTCGTACGAAAGCTAGCTCTTGATTAGTCACTATTAATGACGCATAATTCGTACGAATCAGGGTCGTACCTAGAACGAGCCCTTGATTAGTCATACTTCCATAATTCATACGAATTCTTATCGTGCGAAATCCTTGATTAGTCACGCTGCTCACCCATGATTCGTACGATTCTTCGTCGTACGAAAGCTAGCCCTTGATTTGTCACCATATGACTCATAATTCGTACGAATCAGAGTCGCACGGAGATCGAGCCCTTGATTAGTCGCCTTGATCTATGATTCGTACGATTCTTCGTCATACGAGAAAATAGTCACAATTACGATTCATGCCAGGTACGAATTACTTATTCAGAGACTGTGTCCCTGCGACTTTCGAGTCAGACTAGGCAAAGGCAAAAATATCTTTGATGAGTTGCTAAGCCATCATCCTGCGAGGCTGATAAACAAACATTAACTTTTGAGTGAGGTGCCAATCCATAGCCGCCACATTGGCTTCTAGCCGTGTGCCGCGAGATATAGAGCGGCTAGAGTAAGATTTAATATAAATGACTTAGTGGCGTCTTCACGGTGGGCGCTCCGGCGCGGACGCTGCGGCGGAAATTATCACGGTGCGGTTCGCCTTGAGATAGGTATCTACCGGTTGCTCATACGAATCCTAACCGTATAGCACGACACTTAATGAGCTAATTTTGGCTTGTTACTTATAACAGCCTCGTTCTAATCGTCCGTCGTGGGTCTGGTGATAGTAGCGTGTGGGCGGTGGAACTAAATCACAAGCGCGTCGTGTACCCCAAGGCAAGCTTTGTGTTTGGCCGTGATCGCGTGACAGCGTTCATGCTGCTCATATGCAGCTCCTAATAAGTCTAAGGAGCTAATCACTGGAAATGCTCGTTGCCGAACTAAGGATGAGCGTGGTGGCCAGGGCCACGTCAGAGCGGTCTCGATTGCACCGGTGTCCCGTGCCCGCCGCGAGGGCCATGGCGACGGCCCAGATATTGGGCAGCTGCCCCTGCGCCACCCGCTTGATCTCGAACATAGCGCCAGCTGCGACACGGGTATCGCCTATGTCTTGCGCCTGGACTAGCTCGACTATCTTGCTGCCGACCGACGGCCGCGCGCCGTCTCCCTCACTGCTGAGTATAACCTCGGCAGTCCGCAGGATCTCATGAAGAAACCCCCTTCGTTCCCAATCTGACCACGAGCTCGAGGCGGCCGAATGTATGTCCGAGATAACCCGCGGCAGACGCCTGCTACGTGACAGCCGCTGCTCGTCGGCGAGCGCTGAGTTAGAGCTGAAATTTAGTGCATAATAGGCAGTCGCCATAGCGTCAAAGCTCTCAAAGCCAGCTACGACCACCTGCTCCAGGATACACTGAAATCGCTCCTCCACAGTGGCGTTGGGCGCCTGCTTGCGCGTCGGCATCTCAGAGGGTAATAAGGTGGCTGCCGCAGCGGAAGCAGCGCGGCCCTCGCGGGCCGCGCTGCTGTCCATATTGAACTCTGCAGGAGTCACCGAGAGGAAGTACGTGCCGTCCGCCGGCTGCACCTTGACGGCCTCGTTCTTCCACTTGTCCGTCGCACTGCCAAGTGCTACTTTAGTATTTGTCGTAACGGCATCAGAATCAATAATCCCGTCGAAATTCCAAAAAGCGCTGAGTATTTGGATCTGGTTTGGCTTAGTGGTATGGGATACCGTAGCCTGCGTCTGCTGCTGTTGCTCTTGATACGGAAAAGGAGAGTACAATGTAACATCTCCCTGCAAACTTTTTGGACTATAGAAATGCGGGATATGCAGCTGCGGTTGAAACCACGGCCAACTCGAAGCAGACCTTGACGTGTCTTGCCTTAGCTCCCGCCCTAATGTTGACTGAAACGAAGCTTCATTGGGGTCAGCGTTAATCGGAAACAGGAGTAGCCTATCGGTGGTTGAGTAGGTGTGTGACTTCGATGGATATGACATACTGATGGTGTGCGCTCGGGCAAGGGCCGGGGACACAAAGGTCTCGAATTCCTTCGTCGGCTGCTGGTACGGGGTTGGCTGGACTCGTTGCTGAGCGATAAAATAAGGCATCATTCCCTCGTGGGGGATCTGGTCCACACCATCATTTTCCAACCTGCCCACGATGGTACCAGGTTCGTAGGTTTCATTTGTACTTAGCGAAATGGTCATAGTAACTGCCGACGGGTTATTAGCATCGGTGCTGTGCCATCGATGAGCCTCGTGGCTCTCTACAAGGGCCTGTAGCTCCCTTGGACGTGCTTTTATACGATGACCTGTTCATGACCTACAGTATGTCAGCCCAAGTTGTCTTTAGCTGACTTTGCCTTGTGGCACTCGTAGTCGGCTGCCCGGCGGCCTGGTTGTACTCACGGAGGTTCCGTTGCGTAACTCGATTCTGTATCCTCTTTCTCTCCTTTCTATCTCTAGCCTTTGTCCAGTCGTCCCTAGACCGTAGCCCGGAGGTGGGAGATCGTGCCGAGGACGGCATCTGGAGGAGGAAGCCGTAAAGAACGACGCCGCGATCGGGAAATTCTAGACTCGGGGCTGAAGCCGTTAGAGAAGGAGATTTCTTGCATACTGCTCAGCGGGAAGTACCAGAATTCACTGTCAAAGTCGTGTTCGCATCTATTGCTGTTTTGAAGAGCATATTGGTCGATAATGCAACCGCACAGTGTTACGACCGACATGCGACCGCATGCGCCTCTCACGTGCCCCCCCCCCCCACTTTTTCCTCCAATCATTCACCCCACGCAGCGAACACGCCATGGCTCACCACCACACCGTGAGCCATACATAACCATGGGCTCACGGCCTCACCGTGATCCCACGCCCCGACGTGTAACAATGGATCACTGGCTCACGACTACCCAGCGATCCCCCACAATCGTTCATAGTATATAGGAAGCTACGCTTCACCATAGTCAGTCTCTACCTAGCTCCCCAGCTATTAATGCAATAGTCAACGCTTAGATTACTATCTATCGCACCAGACTGTGACTAGCACCGCTCAAGTCTACGACACCCTAGTGTACTCGTTTCATAAACCGACCTCAGATCTACCTACCCTATAGCTAGTCTGACCCGAACGTCACACACAGCGTGAGCTGCACGCAAGAAGCAAGGATAAGTGTTCAAGATATCTGGGGAAGCTAAGGAATTCAGGAACTCCTAAAAAGTCGATCACTCCTCGTGCGTTCGGGGCTTTCCGTTTGATCTTGCTTACATTAATGGTGTAACGGCGAACGGAACTAACACGATAATTGTAATTCCGGTTTCTAGAGTCACCGCTCCTAGCGAAAGTGACACAGACGGAAGACTTGGAACGAACGGGGAGAGGGGTGATGTAAGCCGTAGCCAGCTAGCGCATACTGTAGAAGTAAAAGAAATCGACGAGCTGAAGATTAGATGGGTCTGAGGTAGCATCCTAGCGTGCGACGACGTGCTTGTGCAGCGATTATTTTGTGACAATCGGCCTGAATGAGGTACAGAGTTCTTTCTCCGACGTTCGCTCTCTACCAACGCGGGAGTCCCAGTGTGTCCAACAACCAAGTCAAGTAACTTGGTTGGTTGAGGTGGGGGGTCACATCATCAGCATAAGTGTTTATTGCCCCCCAGGAGAACGGATCTCATAGGCCAGATGGCTACATATGGGGCCCCACCTCAACCAACCAAGTTACTTGACTTGGTTGTTAGACACACTGCGCGGGACAAAGGACACCTGTCCTTAACTTTCCATGGCCGTGCGCGCCTTCCAACAACGCCTTCCATGGTTTTCTGTGCCAGGCGATCACGTGAGCATCATAATATCGTTAGAATACGACATTTCATCCAGTATCAACTACGAAATCTCATCAGTGAAGCTATTTGCAAATGAGTGATTGTGAAGAGAAGTAGTGTGCGAGCGTAGCCCCAGATAATGTATAACCTCGAGAGATGACAGGACGCACACGCCGACCATTGGTCTCGGGCACGGACGGGGGAAAGGGCCACATTGCTCCTGCCATCCCTGACCAGTGGTAGTCACGTGCCAGCGTGTCGCTAACTAGGTATCCCGAGACTGGTCTCGACTGGCCAGCAGAATTCTTAAACCTTCATCAATTTCCAACACCATCTCAACCCCAACCCACGAAATTCGGACTGAAAAGCGAAGAAGTACTTCAACAATGGGACATGACTGTTGCGGTCCACCGGCTACAGCCACTCAGCCGGTTGCTGCACCAATCGCGGCTCCAATTGAGGAGACGAGCAGTTGCCAGGATTCTTGCTGCGATGGCGGCGACAGCGACGCCGAGCCTCTCGAGACCAAGGACCCGGGTCAGGGAGAGCCCAACCAGGATAAACCGGACGATTGCTGCTCCTCTGGTAAATGCGCGGACGATAAAGCCAAGGATGATACCGACGCGCCTGATTGCTGCCGTGGCAAGGTAGGCCTATGTTGCGACACGTCTTGCCTTGACCGCTTGGCTATGCGGGAATGCGAAATGAATGCTGTCGCTGCCCCCGGAGCAAACGCCCAGACAAAGAGTGAGTAGCCGCGCTTACAGAAAGCCATTCGAGATTGCTAACTCGTCTCAGCTTGTAGTGGAGCTGCCGACGGCAAGGCATGCAGCCAGCATAGCACCTCTGCCCTTGACCGCTATGGCGCCACTCTCCAGGCCCTGGGATGCATCTGCCGTGCTCTTATTGCTCTCGGCCAGGAAACCTGCTGTGAAATTCGCGAGCGCCATTCGCTGGACGGGAAGCAGTGCTCCAAGAAGTCGTCTGCTCGCTCCCTTCGCACTTCGCTGGATTCCTGCAGCAGCAGCGGCTCCGTCACGCAGGACCAGGCTGTGCAGAACCGCCTTCGCCTGCGCAAGGGCTCTGGCGAAAGCGTCAAATCTGCCAAGCAGTCATCTACGGTTGCCTGCGCAGGCTCTTGTTACTCCAAGGACAAGCCCGCCAAAGAGCCTTCCATCAAGGGCAAATGCTCCAAACCTTGCTGCTCGGAGGGGAAACCTGCCAAGGAGTCTCCCCCCAAGCCCAGCTGCGCGGATTCATGCTGCACAAAGGCCAAGCCTATCGTGGAAGCTGTAGCTGACATCAAACCTTCTGGATCTTGCTGTGCGAAGGACAAGGTCCCAGTCAAAGAAGCTCCAACAAAGAGCAACTGCCCCGGTTCTTGCTGCTCCTCTGCTGCGCCTGATCACGGGTTGGAGGTTGAGAAGGCCCCGATTCAGGCTATCACCGACATAGAGAACCAGGGTACTGGCAAGGAGCATGTTGTTCTCAGCATTTCCGGCATGACTTGTACTGGCTGCGAGACAAAGCTCAATCGAACTCTCGCTACAGTTCCCGCTGTCAAAGACCTGAAGACGAGCCTGGTTCTCTCACGAGCTGAGTTCAACATCGACCTTCGCCTCGGCTCGGTGGAAGAAGTCGTGAAACATCTAGAGCGAACGACCGAATTCAAGTGCGAAATAGTTCAGAACCAGGGATCTAGCCTGGATCTTATCGTTCCCGATGAGCCCTCGAAATTCATGAGTCAGACATGGCCGGAAGGCGTCATTGATATGGCGCTTGTGGACAAGCAGACCGTACGAGTTGCGTTTGATTCGAAGATTATGGGAGCCCGAGACCTCGCCGAGAAGATCTGGGGCCCGCCAATTAAACTTGCTCCGCCTCGTGGTGATCCTTCGCTGGAGGCTGGGAGCAGGCATGTCCGTCATGTTGGATACGTGACGCTTCTCTCCGCTCTCTTGACGATTCCTGTTCTTGTCATGGCATGGGCTCCTCTTCCCGAGCGGGAGTTGGCCTATTCCTCGGCTTCACTCGCGTTAGCAACCATCGTTCAATTTGTTATCGCAGGACCTTTCTACCCTAAGGCTCTGAAGGCGCTTGTTTTCTCCAGAGTTATCGAGATAGACCTCTTAATCGTCTTGAGCACCAGTGCTGCCTACATCTTCTCTGTGGTCTCTTTTGGGTACTTCGTCGTAGGGAAACCCCTTTCGACTGGACAATTCTTCGAAACGAGCACTCTCTTGGTCACTCTGATCATGGTTGGCCGATGGGTTGCAGCTCTCGCTCGTCAGAGAGCTGTTGAGTCTATTTCTATCCGGTCACTCCAGGCATCGACAGCCATCCTTATCGACAAAGAAAGTGGAACGGAACGTGAGATCGACGCCCGACTTCTTCAATATGGCGATACATTCAAGGTTCTTCCAGACACCAGGATTCCGACCGATGGCACTGTTGTCACCGGGTCTTCTGAGGTCGACGAGTCAATGCTCACGGGTGAATCCAGACCGGTGGAGAAGTATCCCAAATCGGTGGTGATTGCTGGATCTATTAATGGACCTGGAGTCATGACTGTTCGGTTGAACCGTCTGCCTGGTGACAATACCATCCACGCCATTGCTGCGATGGTTGACGAGGCCAAGTTGTCGAAGCCCAAGTTACAGGACCTGGCAGATCGGGTAGCATCCTACTTTGTCCCCGTGGTGGTGGCATTGACGATCATTACGTTTGTCATCTGGGTCGCAGTGGGCATGACTGTCCGTGGTTATGGAGGATCTGAAGCTACCATTCAGGCCATCACCTACGCCATCACTGTTCTCATCGTCTCTTGCCCATGTGCAATTGGATTGGCTGTTCCGATGGTCATTGTAATTGCCAGCGGAGTCGCAGCGGAACGGGGTATTATCTTCAAGTCCGCGGACGCTATTGAAGTCGCCCATAAGACTTCGCACGTCGTATTTGACAAGACGGGAACTTTGACTCGAGGAAAGCTCTCCGTTGTTGGAAACGAGTGCGTCGACGAGGACAAACTTCCACTTCTTCTGGGTCTGGTTGAAAACAGTCGACACCCGGTTTCGGTTGCTGTAGCTGCCCACCTCAAGGACATCGGAATCATGACTTTGACTATTCCTGAGCCGAAGAGTTTGACTGGTAAAGGTGTCGAAACCACCCTGGGCAGTCAGAAACTTCGAGCTGGCAACTCTCGCTGGCTGAATCTGTCGGACCATGAACTCGTCCAGCCGATGCTTGTTCAAGGCTGCACTGTGTTCTGCTTTACGATCGACAATGAGCTGAAGGCGGTCTATGGACTTCAGGACGAACTTCGACCTGATGCTGCGGAAACGGTTGAAACCTTGCAGAAGCGTGGTGTCTCGGTGCATGTGGTTTCTGGCGACGATGACGGAGCCGTTCGGACCTTGGCATCCAAGCTTAGCATTCCTGGTGACAATGTGCGCTCTCGAAGCTCGCCTGCCGACAAGAAGGATTACATCCAGTCTCTCCTCGGTACTGCCACAGATCGCAAGAAGCCGGTTGTCGTTTTCTGCGGCGACGGCACGAACGATGCCGTTGCTCTCGCGCAGGCTACTATCGGCGTCCATATGAACGAAGGCACAGATGTCGCGCAATCCGCTGCGGATGTTGTTCTCATGCGTCCTTCCCTGGCTGGTATTCTGACCATGATAAACGCGAGTCGAAAATCCGTCAACCGCATCAAGTTCAACTTTGCGTGGAGTTTCGTGTATAACACCTTCGCAGTTCTTCTTGCTGCCGGTGCCTTTGTCAACGCGAGAATCCCTCCAGAGTTTGCGGGACTGGGAGAGTTGGTGAGCGTGCTGCCAGTCATTGCTGCCGCGGTGCTTCTGCGCTGGTCGAAGATCTAGACTCAGAGCGCCATCATTGCAAGAGTGACGACGGCTGAAGTTCCACAAACTCTCCTTGATGTCCGACTGGAGTCGTTGTCACCAAAGACGGGATGCAACAGCTCCCATCGTGGTCGAATTTTGAATCGCATCGCAGTATGCTGCAGTCCTGTCGCTATCGATCGTTCCATGGCTTGCTTCAGTATCAGAGAAGGCTCCTTTTAGGCAGTCTTGACACCAACCGTACCGTTCTACACATGTCCTATCCTATAGGACGTACTCTTAAACAACCACGACTCCTCGATAGATTGAGTTGCAGGGGGGATTCTGTGAAGGGACTCACAGTTTCTCATCTTGGCTTCATTCTCATCGTTGAAGAAGTTTTTATACAACTATCTATAGCTGCCTTTCATGATTGGTTTGGAATCTCTGGCAAAATTTCCAGCTAAGATCCAGACATTAAATATTACACTCGCTTACAGGCGAAGCTTTTGATACATCTGCTTATTATTCCCAGAAGTGACTCCCAAGTTATCCATACCGTAACGCCGTACTATAAGACCACCCGTTTAGAAACATCAGGTATTAAAAGAACTCGGCCAACCACATCCAGCAAGACAGGATAGGTACAATGGCGAGCAGAACCAAAGCTCTCAGCGAACTTGACTTCTAAAACACTACAAGCTCACAAAGCAGTCTAGGATCTGCAGTATGCTGAGAAGGGATTAACTCACCTTCGTCAGCTACAGTACCATATACTATACTTAGGGACATCTCTCTGCCGTCTAAAATAATCGAGGATGGGCAAGGGCCCGGAGGCGGGCGTGGACTGCTGTTGAATGTTCATTGAAGCATCGAACAACGAAGTTGTCGCAGTAGAACTCGAACCGCACCGGGCGCGTCGCCATGGTACTCACGATAATGTACGTAGTAGAGACTGTGTCTTTCTTGTCCTCGAATAAATTGAACCTGACGTCTTTGCATCTCTATTTTGAATGAGAGTTCTCGTGGTGCGCCTCCGCAATTGCTACTCTCAGGATTCCATCAAAAACAAGAAGTGCGTTTCAAATCGCAAACTGCCAATCACGATCGCCGAGCCACTAAAACTTACTGCTTCACTAACCCTTTTTTCTTTTCTTTTTTTTTCTTAATTTTTTTTCGTGTTTAAAATAAGATCTTCTTAATCAGCTCCCGACCTCGATAGTTTTCGTCCCTGACTTCGTTCCTCAAGGCTCTTTTAGGCAAAACCGCTTGCGGTTTGTATCTCCTATTAGAGATCTCCTCGGGACCCAATAGGCCCACGGGTACCCGTCGCTATAAGATTTTCCAAACTTTCTAGAATATCTTACCTAAATTTACTAGAAAGAGAGAGCATAAGTCGAGAAAGCACTGTCCGAGCCGCTTAATCAAGAAGCAATGGCCGCCGTTTTTAGAGGTTTTGATAGTGAGGGGCTATAGGCGGACGCAGGTACCGGGTACCTCCGAGCGCGTCGTGAAGGGGTGGAGCCCTTGTGCCTAGGCTGTCTACCCCGCCGAGTCGCTTAGCTTAGTCTTTTATTTTAGAACCAATAGTAGGGCAGAGTTTATCGGTTTCTTACGATAGAAATGTTTATTTCTAGCTCTCTAAGCTATAGGCAGCTAAGTATATAAGATAGCGCTATTTCCGGCTAACTTATATGCGTTATCTTCTATCCTATTCTTACCTTATACTATTACTATCTATATAGGTTGTTTTCTTAACCCTTAATACGCACGAAGTCTACTATAGCACCCCCGTATCGCTCCCTTTAACGTGCGACCGGCTATAATAGTTATTATATCGACTTTATCGAGCGCTTTACTTAGCGATAGGTATAGTAGCGAGTTTAGAAAAAGCCCGCCGCCCTTAATACTAATTAATAAGCTACCCTCCGCGAGTAACTAAAAAAAGTCTATTTCCTTAAGCTAGACTATACTAATAATACTAAGATTAATATCGCGGGTATCTTACGTAAATAGAAAAGGTATATAGTAAGTAGTTTATTAAATACTTCGCTCGCTAACCGTTCGTTAGATATTATAAATCCGCCGAGCTAGGGTACTAAAAGGACGTGATTAAATAAGCCGACCGGGCGATAGCTATGGATTTCCTAGATTACCTCTACGAGATATAGAAAATTAGGTCGGAGGGGACGTTATAAGAATACTAGCAGTAATTTAAATAGCTATATAGTAGCGTTACGGGCTAATATATAGATAAGAACGATAGTAAGGAAGTCCTTAAGGTATGCCCCTTTATTCTATACTAAAAGTTCTATAAGAGCTAATTTAGTATTTAGTAATACGATACTTACCTTATTCCTAAATATAGTCTTTAACCGCTTAATATCGACGGGAAGCTAGTACTAGGCCCGGATAATCTACTAGTCCTATAGACGTTTAATATAGCTTATAATACTAGTATCTTTCCTCTTAAGCGATAGAGAATAAACCTATCGGGATTATATATTATTCTCGCGAGTACGGGCGTATGACTAACTAAAGTTATAGATAACGAAAAAAATAAACTAAGGGATAGATCGTAGGATAAGCTCTAGGGTCGCCGATAAGCTAAAGCGAGGGAAGATAATACTATAGGTAAATTTACTAACGAGGCTCCCGAAGAGAACTTAATACTCCTCGAGGATATTCTAATATAGGAAACCGAGGGTCGTAGCCGGCCTAAGGCACTATATTACGAAGATATATTATTAATAGTAATACGTTATCCTAATACCGGTTAGGACGTGTTAGTAATAGCGATTAAGTTTATCTACTATAAGGGTATAGATAGGAAGCTTAAACCGTGAGTATACCTTCGCTCTATATATTTCCTAGAGACTATAATAAACTTAGCTTATATTTAATAGGATAATCTTTTTCTTTATAGCTATAAAAAGACTTATTTTCTACTTAATCCTCGTCCTTATTAGCCTTACTCTTAACGACTAAGCCTTTAACGCCTTAAGCTTAAATAACGCTAAGCGTGTCTTCCGGGTTAAGAATCGAGGGCCTGTAAGATATATATACTTAAGGTAGAAGAGGGAGTAGCTAAAATACCCGATCTTCCGCGGATTTAATAAGTTATTAACGGGTTAAGAAAAAGCGCTCCTATACTATAAGCTAAGGGACGATATAGAATATTAAACGCTAGACGCTAGATTCGAAGAGTCTATCGGACCTAAGGTATTCCGTCGAGGAGCCGCGAATATAGTAAATAGTATATTTAATAACTAGCAATCCTAATATTCGGTCTTAATTTCGCTATATATAGGAAACGCGTCTAACGCCGTCCGTGATTAAATAATACGGTATAATCTAAAGTAAGTAATATTTAATAATATATATATTAATAAGAAGGTTAAGTTTTATCTCTAGAATACTTTTCTAGATAAGCCGATAGAAGATAGTCTTATTAAGTTCTTTACTTATATTAGTATTATACGAGATCCCCGGGCAAGCTATAATATAGTTCCCGACGAGGTTTAGAGAGCGCTATTACTAGACCCTAAAGTAGCTATACTCGAGATATAATATAACGAGCTAAAGAAAGGGCGGTTTCGGATATATAGTACTAATATAGAGAAAGAGGTACGGTATCTATCTAATAATATCCGTAATAAGCGTGCGTAACGTAATAAAGCTCTTCGATAAGAGTATCGGAAGTATTATTTCTATAATCGGCCGACGTAGGATATTAAAAGGTAGATAATAAATAATTTCGAGGATAAAGAGGAGGGAGAAGATAAGGATATTACCGAAGATATTTAACCGCCTATCGAGCTATATATACCTAAGCGTGCTCGGCTCGCCGAGATTCTCTATCGCTATCTAGAGAACCTTAGTAATAGCGAACTCTAGAGTCTCTACGTTAAGGCTATCTAGCTTATAATAACCTTTTATAGTAAGAAGGAGATAGTAAAGCGTAAGTATATTTAGCGAATAGCCTAAACTAATATACCTATAAAAGAGGAGTCCCCTAAGTTAGATCGGTTTCTTTTTCTTATAGATAGGATATAGTATCTTTACTATATCGGAAGTAAAGTATTATCCGAAGAAGAGAGAGTATTCCGTTATTATAGGCTAGCGGTAATAAACGATTACTTTAACTAGGAGTATCTTAAGCCTATAAAAGTAGCGGAAAGTATTAGTTCGATTAGATATAAGTATCTATAGTATCGGGATAATAGAGAGGGATTAAAGCTAAAGAGCCTAGATTACTTTAGGAATTATATATAACGCGTTTATAGAGTTTGTCTTAGACCGGAACGTAGGTAGATCTAATAGATTTATAATATACTATATATATTCTCTACGACTAGTCTATTACTAGTATATAACTATAATAAGTAAAGCCTTATTTAGCGATCCCTAACCTCTAGACGCGCGCTAGGGCTATAATACTAGTAAATCGGGGTTTATAATACTAAGCTTATTATTTTACTTATATAGTAATTACTCGTTATATTTATATCTATTCCTTATACTATAGCTAGCCTAGATATATTATTCTTATATTACCGATTGTTATTTTAGAAGCCTAAGGTATAGCTAAAATTAGTTATTTAAACTTCCTCGACCTAAAACTTCGCGTATAACTAAATAATCTATTTCGAGATTTTAATTAGTACTTAAGCTATTTTAGGATATTAGGAGTAAGTAAGGGAACGCCGATACGGCGTGGAAATATCTAACGAGCTAAGAGGTAGATAAAGGCCACGGCGCGTATTTTCGGATCGAAGCGGAGTGCGAAGGGATATAGCTAGCGTTAGACGACTTAACTAGCAATAACGCATAGCGTAGATAGTAAGTAATAGCGTGCTTGGTTCGCCGCGAGTACCTAGCGCGATGCGCACGTGCCGAGCTATTCGTTCTACGTAGTACTTTGAGCTAGCTACTACGCCCTGGCCGCGGTTAGTGTAAGGCGCATACCACGGTATCTCTAGAAAAGCGGCTATTACTACTGCGCAGGCACTAACTCTATCTATCCTGTCCCTGGTATATTAAAGTGGTGAAATACTTAGCTAATGGAATTATAGCGAGTGGTAATTCGGCCGTAAATTAATAGGCTGACTTATAGCGCTGACTTCTAGGGGCGCACTTATTGGATCCCGACTTCTATATTATGAGTTAGTATCACGTGCTATATCGACGGACGTGATCTAATCAATGCCTTAACACGGAAGCGAGGATCTAGCGAATTACTCGGCTTCGTTCTACGGATAAGTTATTAAAAAATTAGTAGTATCCCTGCTCAATCTAGCATAGCGTATTAATTATCTATCCTCGGCCTGGTAAATTCTGGATTTGTAACTACGCTAGGGCACCCCCGGCCTAGACTCCGCCTCTCTTTATAGCTTAGCCTAGCTACTTAATTCTAATGGCCTATAGGCTTTGATGCAAGCAATGGGGATTAATAGGGGTATTATATAGCTTTTATATCCTTACGAATGTAGTGGCTGCCACTGTTATCTAGCGAACTTGTTAAGG